TGTTCTATATTACCAAAGTGCCCTTTCAAAAAGTCAACTGCTTCTTGTAAGAGTATCAAATTTGGGGAAAAGGGGGGGGGGCTTGAATGAGTATGTGAGCTTTCCCCTCTTACCTGCCCTTTGGGGTAAAAAAATTTTGTTACTCGGCTAGGTCACCCCGACATGCACAGCTTTTTAAAAATTGCCAAAAAACCCCTCCAATTTTCCAGGTTTAAAATAAGTAAAAAAATTCGGGGATTTTTTTGGAAAGACATCTTTTTTTTGGGAGAATGTTAACGTCTGGTTTACACTTTTTTAATTTTTTCAAGGCCTGACTTTTAAAAGAAAGAATCTTTTCCTTTAATTCTAATCTGAAAACATGAATTTACTTCAGTCTCATCACACGTTTACTAAAAAATCTCCTTCATTTTTGTTGTAATAAATTTTGATAATCATCTATTCCCCAAAGCATCAAAAAATTTTTTAAATCCTATTCACAGTTTCTTGATTCTTTAAAATTCTAAACATTTTTTAATGCCTTGGTTCTGACCCTTTCTAGCTTGCAGTGATCTTTTTTTGCTTATATTCCTATGTTTGTTTCTATTTTAATTTTTCCTCATTTTCACCCCATGAGAAATGTTTAAAATTCAACTTAATTAAAACACTGGTTAAGTCAAAATATGCATTTTAAAAAGGGTAAATAGTACAATTTCCTTTGAATAAATCCTAGCTACACTTGAGCTTTGCAATTCAGTAAAAAATTGTAAAAAATTTTAAATACACTTTAAAAATGTTACTAACTTCTAGTAATTACACTGTAAGAAAATTATAATAAAAATTTTTAAATACCATTAATAAAGTTAGCTACCTTAGCTTATTTTTTCAATGAAAAAAATTAAAATATAAATTTTAGATGTTCATTAAACAAACCTTTGCCAGATTGGCTTATAAAAATTAAATATTATACAAATTAATATAAACCTTTGCGAGTTTTGGCATGCAAATTTAATATATACACTTAATATAATCTTTAGTCACACTTGTCTTGGCTTTCCAAATTAAATATTGTAATAATTATAACCACTAACAAAAGTAAATTTGTGAACTTAACATCCACCTCCGTTATTTCACATATAATTATTAAGTAATTTAACTAAATGATTTCACTAATTTCCTCCAGTTCAAGAAGGACCAATGTTTTAAAAAAAAGTGGAAAAATTCATTTTTCTAAAGACTCATTATTACAAACAGAAAAAAGATAACAAAGATATTATTATTTTCTTTTAAAAAGGACCAATGGTTTAAAATTAAAAGTGGAAAATTTTTTATCGAATGTAAAATCATTATGTACATAAACAGTAAAATTAAAAATAATATAAAATTCAGTTTCATAACAATAGAAAATTTTTGGGACCCTAGGGCACAAAAATGCCCCCCCCCGATACCTAAACTGTCTACCACAAGTTGCTCAAAAAACCATTAAACAAAAGAAATTGTATCACCAGAATTTGGTAAATATTAAATTTGTGGACTGTATATTAAAATTTAAAATTGATTATATATATAATTAAATATATAATTTAAAAATATTAAAATATTATATATAATGTATATAAATAATATTATATATATACAATTTTTTTTAACAGAAGGGAAAAATAATTTAAAATCACCCAAAATTTTACTTAGATTTAAGGGGTTTTTTATATCAGAAAACCTCACTGTCTAACAGAAAATAACACGGCAGAGTTTAAACATTTTAAAAGACTTTTTGAGTTCCTGAGCTGCTTGTCCATCGCCGATACTCAAGTTATCAGGATGCCAAACCAACAATTTCGGATCCTATTTGAGAGGCGTCAGCCCAATTTTACCTGTAGAGCACGAAAATTTTTCCCAATATTCACTAACGTTTGTTACTCAATTCAAAAAACAATGGCGAGTCTCCTCTGCGCAGGCGCAGTTTCCCATTTTTTATAACAATTTTTATTAAATACAGTATGGCCATCTATTTAGATATAACTACTGTATTTCTGGAAAATATATACAATATTTTCCACAGAAGGAATAACAGTAATAATATTAAATGATCAGCTACGGAAAGAAAAGAAAGGATATTAAACGTTTAAATTTAAGAATTACGGAGATTAGAATGAAGGTGTGAAGTGATAAGTGGATTACAGTAAGCATTTATGCACCTTAGGAGAGAGAGGAGTGTTGAAGAGAGAGAGAGAGGGCGAGGGATATTTAGTGAGATGTTACGAGAATGTTCAGGGAATTTTCAGCCATGTAGAGGTTAGGTAAAGTTTGCCAGGAACAGGACAAGTGTTTCCTGACGCGGGTCTTAGTCATATGATGACCCGCATCTGGAGCTTTTGGTCATCTGACTGATGCCACCCCTTTAAAAATTATGGTTATGATTATAGCCATTAGATTTCAACTATGTAGAGAATATTGTGGGTAACCTAAACGATAAAGTAAGAGAGGCTGTTGTAGACAGCGTAAGTAGGCGATTTCGAAGTACTGAAGGTAAATGATACTGGAAAACCTTTAATTGAAATATGTATAGAAAGAGGTTTGGCAATAGGTAATACCTATTCCATGAATAAAGAGGATGAACAAGTATATGACATAGGATACTATGACAGTAGTTTGATAGACTGTTTTAGTAGTTTGAAGGTTGTTGAGAAGACTAATGGGTGTGCATATTGTTAAAGGAACGACAGATATGGCAGATCATTACTTAGTTGTAACTACATTGAGAGTAAGAGGTAGGTGGAATACAAGGACAATGACAACAGAAGTGGATAAAAAAAATGAAAGTTATTGAGCTAAAGAAGGAGACAGAGAAAGATATTAGCAAGCATTAGGAGAAAGGTTGGCTAGAGATAGTACAAGTAATGAGGAAGGTGGAAGAAGTATGAGCGTAAACTTAAGAATGCGGTCTACCTGGAGGGCATTCCGGGGATCAACGCCCCCGCGGCCCGGTCCACGACCAGGCCTCCCGGTGGATCAGGGCCTGATCAACGAGGCTGTTACTGCTGGCCGCACGCAATCCAACTTACGAACCACAGCCCGGCTGATCTGGCACCGTCTTTAGGTATCTGTCCAGCTCCCTCTTGAAGACAACCAGGGGTCTTCCCGTAATGCGGTGCTGGAATGCATAGTATAAGTTTTTGGGTATAGGAAAGTGGGTGCAGGTGGGAAGAGGAATGATGCAGTGATAAGGTAAGGCAGTAAGGAAGATAAAATTAACATGTTGTTTACACTGTGGAAATGATGTATGGAGGGCAGAGTATATGGAGAGAAAATGTGAGGTTTAAAGTGTAGTGAAGGAATACTGAGAAGAGCCAGTTTGAGTACAAGTGTGGCTCTGTCAGTAAATTTTACTGAGGAATAAGAAAAAGTTTTGGAGGGAGATCAATAAGATGATAAAATTTGGCTTATATGAGAGTCTTAGACCGGAATGATGGAGGCAAGTAGTGGTGTGGCTTGATATGTTGTTGAGGTGTGAGCAAGTTGACGTTATGAATAAATGGTATAGTAAACCGAGAAGCTGATAAATTAGACACTTGTGCAACACTTGAGTATCATGATTCTGGAAGCGTTTCACCATTCAGTAGCTCCTTCAGTCCAATAAAGAGAAACGGTGGAAGATGAGGAGTGAGAGGTAATTAGTCCCTCAGCCTGGAGTCGATGTGTTCGGTGCATCAATCGTGATTAAAGTGTTGCATATTCGCGGAGATGGAGTTTATATACTTCAGAGAGATGAGATGGATCAGTGGTAGGCGGTGACGCCAGTGGAGAAACACACTAGTTGAAGAGGGTCGTGCCTATAGGTTAGGCAAGTTATGAAGAATTCCCTGCATCAAGACTAACGAAATCGTAATGGCACGATTGCAAACAAACCATACCACGGGCGGGATTTGAACGCGACGGTCTGGAGTTTTGAGACTCTCTGACCGCGGGTTCAAATCCCGCCCGTGGTATGGTTTCCCTGCATCAAGTTCCCAAGAGCTTGTAGTGTCTGACAGAGTTTAAATAAATGGTTTAGTAAACTGACAAGTTGATAAATAAGGCACTTGTGCAGCATTTAGGTGTCTTTAATTTGGAAACGTTTCTCCATCTTGTACTGCACAAGTGTCTTGTTTACCAGTTTGCCAGGTTTCTAAAACATTTATTCCAGCTCTGTCAGACACATCAACATCTTGGGATCTTGATGCAGTGAATTTTCCGTAGTTTGCTTAACGTACAGGCACGACCTACTTCCATTAGTGAACTTCTCCACTGGTGACTCCGTCTACCACTGCTCCACCTTATCAGTCAGCAATATATAAGTCCCTTCGCGGATATGCTATGTTCTTGCTTTTAAAACTGTCAAGTTTATAGATACCAGAACTCAACTTTTAAATGTGTTCTGCATCATGCTGATAAAAAATTATTCAACAATATTTAATTGGACAATAGAGATACAGGGAATTGTTTATAATTAATCTAATCTGTACGATGAGCAGTATCCCTCAAATGAATAAACAGATCACTAGCTACATGGCCAGTAGTTACTCCATATTTACGTTAACTCTGGACTCTAGTAACTTCCCAGTTTGTCCAGGATAGAAGCTATCACAGCTTTTACAAGGAATAGAGTATACAAAGCCCAAAGTCACTTTGGGCTTGTATACTTTATGAAGATGCTTAACATCTTCATTTTTGCTGTGTTATATTTAAATTAATCTTTTCCAATGAAGTATTAAAGAGCTTGTGGGAAGTGTGGGAGTGTCATTAAATGGTAAAAGGAATATATCTGAGTTGCGTTTACTGAACAACAGTTGATCTGTTTTTTAACAAACTACCGCTGATCTGTATTTACTGAATAATAGCTGAGCTGTGGCGACATCACAGCAAATTTGTGTTTATAGTGTAATATTTGTGTTTAATGTGTAATATTTGTGTTTACAGTGTAAGACTTGTGCTTGCAGTTTCAGATTTGTGTTTACAGTGTAACAGCTTATTTGTGTTTGCAGAGTGGCGCCAGTGAGCAGCGAGGAGCTCCGGTGGTGGGGTGTTCACGGAGTGCCTGGCTCCCTGCCCTCCCTCACTGAGCCTGACTCTCCCCCAACCAACTCTCTGGACCTCGAGTGGGAACCAGAAGCTGGTCAGTGAGGACATTGTAACAACCTAGCTAAGGGACGCAAGTGTTTCTAGGAAGGGATTTGAGCATTGATTTTTAAATATAAAAATTTAATTATAAAAAAAATTAAATTTAGCAGTTTTTTTTTTTTTAGAAACAAGCGCATTCAGATTTGCAAAGTAACTATATGAAGCATTGGCAAGGGAATATATTAATAAAATATGCAGTTACTCATGATCAATAAAATAGCAAAAATAATCATCGACACCATGCCCAGCCCTTCTAGGGTAGGGCACCGGTGTCTAAACTGGGCCCTGGGTACAAAGCTAGTTCCCAAAAATGGGGGGTACTTGTCCCAAACTCATGGGAGTACTTGGCCGCCCTCCTGAGACTTTGGGCCAACCGTGGCACCAGATTGGGAGCAAGGCCCGGGCCCACTGGAAAAGCCCGGCCGGAGAATACGCGAATCATTAATAAATAATTAATAACAAAAATAATCCATAATAATTGATGATTTTAATATTAACATGATAATTGATGCCAAAATCTCATACTTCATACACAGTATGTTGTTCTATTATTATGCCCAATTAATAAACCCACCAGAAACACAGAGCCATCTTTTGCACCAAAGCAGTAGGTCGCAGCACTGCTACTCCTTCGTTGCTCACTTCTCAACCACAATCACACCAAGCGTGATCTAATATTAAATTATTAATATTTACTCAAACCAGTAACTCGGGTAAATTAAAGAGTTGTGGACTCTACGTACATATAATCTAGACTGGTGTTAGAATTGGATAGTTGGACCATTATTTATAATGATTATTTCTATCATTCCTACCGCATTCATCAGTTGTACAAATTATTATCTAACAAATAGAATCTAAACTGGCCAGTCAGTAGTCTAGTTGCTGGTAACAATGGCGTACGTTCCTGGGTGTGCTGTAATGACGCCGCATCTCATTGAAATCCCTTATGCAGTCTTATTGTGACTGGTTCAAGGGCAAATTTATCAGTACTCCAATACACGAGGATTATAGACGACTTGATCCATTAGTGAGGCCTCCCCACACTATTTTGGAATCGTAGACGCTCAATTACACATGATTGCACAACCAGTACTACATCGCCATATTGTCAACGTCTCTCTCCCTCGCCGGTGTGACAATGCTTTTCAAAAAATATAATAATAATAATGATAATATAATATCTTTATTTACTACAAGTACATGGTATGCAGGCCTAGTTGACATCAATTACATACTACTATATAGAAAGCCGCTTGTTATGCTGAGCATTTCGGGCAAATTAGGTCAGTTTTGTCCCAGGATGCGACCCACACCAGTCGACTAACACCTAGGTACCTATTTTAAACTGGTGGGTGAACAGGGACAGGGACAGCAGGTGTCTTATGGAAACACGTCCCTAATGTTTTCCAGCCGTACCGGAGGAGATTCGAACCCCGGACCTCAGTGTGTGAGCTGAGTGCGCTAGCGGTCGAGCTAGCAACATTTCCCATGTTTACTAAAAATAATGTTTTTTATTGTTATTATTATTATTTTTATTATTTAATATTTCTTCGCAACAGGTCTGGCGCGGGAGAGCCGAGATTCCCTCGGGGAGGAGGAAGCATCACAGACAGCTGAATCAAGTAGCTGGGTGCCCCGGTCCTGCTCCTCCACTCCAAACAGCCTCGAGTGGGATTTCCGCGCCTCTACCTTGAGCTTGAGGGGCGGCATGGATGACGAGACTTGGCATCACACTGACATGGAGACGGAACAGCTGCTGCAGGAGATTGAACAATTGGCGGCCCGCGCCCTGGCTGACACCGGCCATGGGCTCCAGCCTCCACCCAGATAGGAGCAGCTGGATAGTCCACCTGCATTGGTGACTCGGGAAGCACATATACCAAAATCTTGAATAAATTTTGAGTCTTACTTTTAAAATGTGGTGAAAGTGTGACTCCCAATGACCAATTAATAAGAGACTGTACACGCTGCCTTGCGAGCAAATAAACCAACATTTGAGGCCTTCTTTGAACGATAAATGAATAATAATAATGTCAGTTATGCGATTTAGGCAAGTTTTATATTACTTTGAACACATTGCTTGCTGCAAAGAACTGAACATGCAGCAAGAGCTTGACCAGGTTTATCTTCATGAGTACTGTACTAACCGGTTCTAGAATCTATGACAGCAATGTGCAACGCACTTTGAATGTATTGCTAAATGATTTATAATACAGTAAATAGGAACTCATTGTGCTGTAGCAGCTCAGTGGATGAATTGTAATCTTCCTGGTCGGACGTAACCTTACCCTAAGAAAGTCTAACACAAAATACTGACTCATCACAGTTCCCTCGATTAAACATATCTTTCACCACAATTATTGGTGAGCCGCCTCCCCCACTGGGTAAGTCCTGCCTGCTCGTACCAGCGAGCATGCTGCCCCAGTGAGTCAACATGGGCGGTGCTGCACCCCATCAGGGAGAAGTTAATATCTTTGTAGAGTAATTTGTCTTGTACTGCATTGTATCTCTAAGACTTAATCATACCTATTATTTTGATTGAATTTAATGATAATTTCCCTAGAACTACGAAATGGTTGCGAGTAAACGTTAGCAGTGAAGATCAAATTGTCTTGGATTATGTATGTGGGAATTATACCAATTCAGTGTTAGTAAGATGTTCAGACCACTGTCCTACTGGGTTTCGAGCTTGTCTCATGATTGCTCAACTTTTACATACTACTAAGGATACATATCGTGTACTTGCAGCATGTGACATCTACAAAAAATTGGGATTCCCCAATTAAAATGCATTACTAACAGACAATGACTAATCGATGTGTGCCTCTCACGCCTATTCACAAACTGCGCTTCCTATACTACTGTGGTAAGATCTGGGGTAATATATACGCGAGATACAACTTAATCCACAGGCAGATCTATCATCTTTTAACAACTGTTGCAGACGTGAAGTCATTTTATAAAATATCAGCTTTCCCATTAGCTCCACAATTGGCCATAGTTTCTGGAAACATCAGGTGACCAAACTAGAATTATTACCTGGCATACTCCCCATATTCTAGTGATCCGGGTCAATTTTAGGAAATTAGGTCAAGGGGCGAGGGCGTGCATTGTACCAATGCTCTCTTTTATTATTGGCTGATGTGAAGATAGCAACGTTGTTAGCATATTGTTAGCATATTGTTCCACTTGGCTATTGTATAATCGTGATGTGTACAACATTGATATGTCTGTGCTCTTTATTCACTTTGCTTGTCAGGAAAGTTACTTATGACATTTCTGGATTTAGAGTTTTTCAAATAAAATTACTATAAAAATAGCGGTAGCCTAAGAGTTGTGTTTGCAGCCTTTTGCAATTCTGCAAACATGAGTACAATATATGTTGTATTATTATGATACATTTAAGCGGTTTTTATTGGAATAATTGTTATTTTATGACCTTAAGTTTTAAGAAGTCGGGTCCTATTCAAAACATTTTTAATGAGGGATAAATTATAGTCTTACATCAGATTTGTGGAACATAGTTTACATTTGATTATCAAAAAAAGTTTTGATCTTTACTTCCAGTGTTTGTGTTGCACAGATTAGTATAGTGTCAACAGTGTCATGGTTGTGAATTATTAATGAGCAGCAGAGGCCTAATATTCTCAAGGATAATGATAATGCCCAGTAAATACTTTGTAGCCACAAGGAGGATCCTCGGCCTCTGTGTACTTCAGAGTCTGTGTGTTTGCTGCATCAGTTCCCTCAGCATCGACACCATGCCTAATCCTTCTAGGGTAGGGTAGGTGCCTGAGCCCGAGCCTTTAGCTCATAAGACTGTCATTCCCATTAGCCTCCTTGTGGCGGGGATGGCAGACCAGAGAGGCCTAGCTTGTGGCTAGGCCTGGGGACAGTTGGTCCCAAAGATGAGGAGGTACTTGTGCCTCCTCCCATGGGAGACTTAGGTCTCAGACACTCCCTAAAGAGGGAGCCAAGGCCGGGCCACCACTTGGAAAAGGCCCGGGCCGGGAGAATACCGGCTAATCTTTAATAATAATAATAATAAGTTCCCTCAGGCTAAGGAAAAACAAAATGCATCTATCTGAAACTCGGGGCCGCAGTACTGATCAGTGAGAAGTAAAGCCATCTTTAGGTTGTATCCACTTCTCGGGAAATAAATCAAAATCCAAAATCAATAATTTATTGTTTGTCAGCTAGTTTGAGAGCTGTCGCCAAGTGATTTACACCGAATTGATCAGCAGGTCAGTAACTGTATAGAGAACAGTGGCGTCCGAGTCTCGGAAGTTTTTTGAATCTTATGCAGGAAAATGACCTGGAAACTAAGTACGGTCCGGGAAGGTCTGGTTTTGGAGGCCCGGAAACTTTCCTATACCTGCGGTAAATCATATATACATCGATAAAATTAGACATTACGTCGGGTAGAGGACTCTGGCCCAGTGAATCATTGTGGGTGAAGCACAAGCAACCTGTAGATTAGCTGCTTCTTTGGAGAAAGCCTTATACAGTTGGTGCTACCTTTGTCCTCGTTATTTTGGCTAGTGCTTACAGACACTTGTGATTTTATAATCTTATAGTGTATAACTATGGGGGAGAAATTTGTGATCATCCCATGTACAGTTTGTGTATAAAAACCCGTTTTGTATAAAGCTACAAGATCCTGATCACATCTTTTCTTCCCATTTGTAAAGAGATGTACGTATTTTGAAAGTTAATAAAATAAACAGGCTGTGTATATCTATTCAGTCCCATAAATGATTTTTAATAATTCTGATTTACTTGTAATAATCATTTAATAAATTATGTGTTTCAAACTCAATTTCAATTAATTACGTTGAGGAAGAGTGCAATGTTACAAATCTATATCTTAATTGAACGTACATATAATTTGCTTCATCGAAGGCGTCTGCCATAATACTGTCTGCTTTATACACTCTCTTGTAAATAATATATCACATCTTTGCTCCACGAGCAGTAACAATGAATATGAAATACCTGAGGTTTAAAAAATACGATAATTGTGATATTCATGGCTCCACTTCCTTGAGTGAAGCGACCTCCACCAACAACAAGGCACCTTGAAAAAATATGGATACATTGTGCTATGGGATTTCAGGGATGTCTCGCTAGATGTCGCTAATTTCATTATTTTTTTTTAATTTCTTGCACTTTTTCAAAGTTTCATGTCTGTTCTTAAAGTACAAATTTGTCCATCGCGACTATTTAAAAAAAATACGATAAGAAACATATTAGACAACCAATTTGTGTGTGTGTGTGTGCGTGTGTGTGTGTAGGGGATGAAATTGTTTAAATGTAGATAGACTCACATGCATAGTTCAGAACATTTACTGATGAAACATTTTTGCTAAAACTTTAAAAATACCATAGAAACCGGATTTTTGTGGGATGGTGCTGGCCACTGCTGTCATGGCGGCCTCTGAACACTGTCGACGGTCATTGTCATGTATAACTAGTTTAGCCTCTCAAAATTTCAAGAGGTGGCCCTGTCTTATATACGCGGGGGTATATATAATTATATATTATAATATTAAAATATATATATATATATTTTATATATATATATATATATATATATATATATATATATTTAAAATTATATATATATAATCATTAATATATTAGGCTAAAATAAATTGCTCTTGTTATAATAAGGTTAGGTAAGTTTTCTAAGTTTCCTTTTGTGCAAAATTAAAAATTTTACATGAACATTTAAAGAAAAAAATATATCTTAATAGCGTATAAGAGAAAATTTCAGAAAGGACTTAATTTTAAATGAGTTCTGCTAATTGACCATTTTTTTACATATTCGGCACGACATATATATAATATATATATATTATAAATATATATATAAAATATATATATATATATATATATATATATATAATATAGCAAAGGAATTCGCAAGAGCAGGCGAAATATACGCAAACTGATCTCTGGCCGAAGGAGACTCGAGCCTACGAACCTTGGAACAAGGTACGCAGTGCTTTACCATTCTCACCACACTGGACAATACCTTGGCGTCCAGCTTGCGCTAGACGTTAATCCAAGGCAGCCAGCTTTCAGGGAGAAGGCTCACAGCTTTTCATCTCATCCACTGCATGCAGGGGATGAACGTATAAATCTCATCCCCTGCATGCAGGGGATGAGATTTATATGCTCTCCATGTCATTCTACTTTCATCCATTCTCAACAACCCCTCGTCAGCCCTCTGACTAATGCTTTTATTAACTCCACACCTTCTAATTTCTACACCGAACTTTCTGCATAATATTTACACCACACATTGCCCTTAGACAGGACATCTCCACTGCCTCCAACCGCCTCCTCGCTGCTGCATTCACAACCCAAGCTTCACACCCATATAAGAGTGTTGGTACTACTATACTTTCATACATTCCCTTCTTTGCCTCCATAGATAACGTTTTTTGTCTCCACATATACCTCAACGCACCACTCACCTTTTTTTCCCTCATCAATTCTATGATTAACCTCATCCTTCATAAATCCATCTGCCGACACGTCAACTCCCAAGTATCTGAAAACATTCACTTCTTCCATATTTCTCCTCCCCAATATGATATCCAGTTTTTCTTTATCTAAATCATTTGATACCCTCATCACCTTACTCTTTTCTATGTTCACTTTCAGCTTTCTACCTTTACACACACTCCCAAACTCATCCACTAACCTTTGCAATTTTTCTTTAGAATCTCCCATAAGCACAGTATCATCAGCAAAAAGCAACTGTGTCAATTCCCATTTTGTATTTGTTTCCCCAAAATTTAACCCCACCCCTCTCCCGAACACCCTAGCATTTACTTCTTTTACAACCCCATCTATAAATATATTAAACAACCATGGTGACAATACACATCCCTGACTAAGACCTACTTTTATATATATATATATATATATATAATATATATATATATTATATATATATAATATATATATATATATATATATATATATATATATATTTTTTTTTTTTTTTTTCAAGTCGGTCGTGTCCCACCGAGGCAGGGTGACCCAAAAAAAAAGAAAGAAAATCCCCAAAAAGAAAATACTTTCATCATCATTCAACACTTTCACCACACTCACACATTATCACTGCTTTTGCAGAGGTGCTCAGAATATAACAGTTTAGAAGCATATACGTATAGAGATACACAACATATCCCTCCAAACTGCCAATATCCCAAACCCCTCCTTTAAAGTGCAGGCATTGTACTTCCCATTTCCAGGACTCAAGTCCGACTATATGAAAATAACCGGTTTCCCTGAATCCCTTCACTAAATATTACCCTGCTCACACTCCAACAGATCGTCAGGTCCCAAGTATCATTCGTCTCTCCATTCACTCCTATCTAACACGCTCATGCACGCTTGCTGGAAGATCCAAGCCCCTCACCCACAAAACCTCCTTTACCCCCTCTTTCCAACCCTTTCGAGGACGACCCCTACCCCTCTTTCCTCCCCCTATAGATTTATATGCTTTCCATGTCATTCTACTTTGATCCATTCTCTCTAAATGACCAAACCACCTCAACAACCCCTCTTCTGCCCTCTGACTAATGCTTTTATTAACTCCACACCTTCTACCTAATTTCCACACTCCGAATTTTTCTGCATAATATTTACACCACACATTGCCCTTAGACAGGACATCTCCACTGCCTCCAACCGTCTCCTCGCTGCTGCATTTACCACCCAAGCTTCACATCCATATAAGAGTGTTGGTACTACTATACTTTCATACATTCCCTTCTTTGCCTCCATAGATAACGTTTTTTGACTCCACATATACCTCAACGCACCACTCACCTTTTTTCCCTCATCAATTTCTAGATTAACCCATCCTTCAAAACCATCCGCCCACACGCAACTCCCAATACTAAAAAATTCCTTCTTCCCTTCCCCCCCCCCAATTTTTAATCCAATTTTTTTTTATCTAAATCATTTGATACCCTCATACCCTTACTCTTTTCTATTTCATTTCAACTTTCTACCCTTACACACACCACACACACACACACCCACACACACACACATATATATTTTTTTAAAAAATTATTATATTATATATATATATATAAAATAATATATTATAATAATATATTAAAAAATATATAAATATATATATAAATATATAATATATATATATATATTTTATATAATTAAAAATTTTAATATGTTGTGTGTTGTGTGTGTGTGTGTGTGTTTTCGTGCCGAATATGTAAAACTGGTCAATTGCAAAAACTCTTTATAATAAGTCCTTTCTAAAATTTTTTCTTAACGTTTAAAAAATATTTTTTTCATTAATGTTAAGTAAAAATTTTTAATTTTGCTCCAAAAGAATCTTAGAAAACTTACCTAACCTTGTTATATCATGAACAATTTATTTTAGCCTAACCCAACTAAATGTATTTTAGATTTGTTTACAATAATTTAATACTAAACAAACACAGTGAAATATATTTTTTTTGTTAGGTTCAAAATGATTTTGGCGAAATTATTGCATACACAAATTTTCGCTTGTCCTATATGGCAAGATGAGAGTTGCTGTTTAAGCCAAGATCGCAAGTTCTGCCTATTCGGCACGACATATATATGCATGCTAAAAGTTTCTCTTAAATCAATAATAAGGCCCAGTGGATATTTATTATTTTCTAGAGCTGAATAAACAGAGTTCATTATCATTATGCTAGCATCATTAGTACTTCTCCCTAGCCTAAAGCCAAACTGACGATGTACGAATATTTTGTCTGATAACAAATGCATATATTCGTTTATATATTTTTTTCTTTATTTTAGATAATAATGGCATGTTAGAGAATGGTTTTGAGTGAACTTGTTAGCATAATACATTTCTATAGATTTCTTTATAAGTATGGTCACTGTTGATGCATATCTTTGTTTTTCACAGGCATACTTCTTTTTAGCGGACCTGAGAATGTCAATGTTTATCAAGAGCTATTTATTCCCATAGTTGTGACCTGTTTGACTTTCGAGGGACATTGTTATAGAGGCACTGAAACTTTTTAAAGAAAACTTGTACACATAAATGGACATCTAGATCATAGGCGAACAAATTATTATTTAAATATAGCCAAAGATGTGGGGAATGAGAAGTGAAATTCGCTATATTATGTAAAATTTTTGAAATTTGGTTGCTCAATTGAAGATTAAAAATTTAATAAACTTTTTTGAACAAGTTTAATTAAAATTTGTATATTTTCTTTGTTCAGTTACAACAGCAAAAGCTGAAACAAATTGTTTAAATTTAATAAATAAGAACAATGCGAAATTTGACAATTCTTTTGTCTGACAAGTTGCAAAAATATTGGCAGAATATCTGGACTCAATGCACATCTCAGCTCCGTCTTGAAATTGTCTTCTTTTTGGATAATGTAAAGTATCCAAAAAAGGCATTATTGACGTTTTTAAAAATTGCTAGAAACACGCTGCACAACCCTAAAAAGGACAAGGAACGATACTCAGCCAAGAATATCCCACTTTTGGAGGGTGTAAGTATAGTAGTTGTCTTGGCCGATGTGAGTCGTGAATTCCTGTGCAAGTATGTGGTCATTCACATTCTTGTATGCAATAAGATCATAGTAAACAGGTGATATCACAATAAGCAAAGCAAACATTGTGAAAAAAATAGTAAAATTCCATGCGCTTTCGAGATTTCTCACATTATCAAATT